TGCAGGTAGCCGGCTGAATACGAGCAGACAACCACTCCCGTCTGAATGGAACCTAAAGGTGGCCATACACTTTACAACCCTCGCAAGACTTTTGTCTTGCGAGGGTTGTAAAGTACTTAAAAAACGTACGATCTGCCCATCTTGGACAGGCAGATCGTACTTGCGATCATCGCAAGCTCGCCCCCCTGAGGGGCGGGCTTCCAATGACTGCAATGCTGAACGGGCAGTGTGCGCGTGCGCACACCAGCCCGTTCGGCAGTCATCGCTCGATCATGTTAAAAACAAGCCGAAAATCGTACGATTCTCGGCTGGTTTTCCAACATGCTCGAAATACAAAAGTTGTGCGACCGTACAATAGAAACGGTCGCACGCCTTCCATACACGCGGGATTTCCCGCGTTTCTCGTATGAGAATTGTGCAGTGTATGGGCACCTTTAGGTACAACCAGGGAGCTATCATTTTGAAAAGAGGGCCAGCAATGGTAGCCCCTATACTTAATTTGTGACAGAGTCACTTTAATGATATATTATGGGTTGTTTTGCATGGATGCTGACCATACTCCTTGATATAAAGCTAGCCACTAGAGTTAGAATCTGCATATCTTTATATAAAATACTTTATGAAAACGTGGAATTGTAAGTAGTTATAAGTAGTTATAATGTATGACTCACTTTGCATATTATCTGAAAATGTGATCTAGTTTGCCTTTGATACGTTTGTGTAAAGTGCGGTAACCTATAGCAGCTGGGGCAGAAAGGGGCACTCTCATTTGACAACAGCATTTGGATGGATCTGGGGATTTGGGTGCCAATTGTTCCTACTAACCATGCTGAGACACGTACTGTATGTGGCTCCTTGTTCTGTGTCTCTGATTTAGGAGAATGATGACATTGTCTGGTACATTGTCCCCTCAGGGGTGTGCTTCTGTTCTGAGCCTAGTCCTGCATCTTTCTGTCCATATCATTTTTGTGAAACTGGAGCCATTTGCTGTCTGTGCTTTTTCTTTTTTGTGTGAGGAGAATATTTGACTCTTAGTGCCATATTTAGCATTTGTATATAATGTAAAACATAAAAAGAACACTGATCAGTTTCCTAGTCTTGTTGTGTTTTTGTATTACCTCAGGCATTTGTAATGCTTGGCCGTTTAATCTGTAGCTTGTGCACACAGCAGCTCATTATTGTTTCTTGTGTGTTGAAGACATTGAAGAAGGATATAAGAAAGCTGGCTGATTGGAAAATATTAGTGGCTGGCTGGAACACAGATCCCTTTTGTGCATGTGTTCACAATGCCTTGTTTCTTAAGACTTAGTGGGTTAGCATAACATGAACATGCCTAGCTCAGAGACACTGATGGCTACTAGCACAAAACACTGAAACTGGATTGGTATGGAATGTGATGTGTGAATTCAGTTCAACAAAGGCATTGCCTTCACATTGGAGGAAGTACCAGGTAATAAGGAGATGCTATTGTTGACCTCCTTCAAAACATGTCAGACGTCTGGCAGTCTCTGAGTGATTGACCTGTAACAAGTATGCAGCAAGTAAAGTCCAAACTCTTGACCTGTATACATGTTTAAAGTGACACTAAGGCCTTGTTCACACCAAATGCAGAGCAGGTCCGGTCAGGTTTCTGCACACGCACGCTAGTCTTTTAGATGCGTTTTTGGCTAAAAAAAAATATAGATTTTTTTTTTAGTTTAACATGGGCTTTCAGTGCGTTCCAGGCATTTGCATGCATTTTTGATGCATTTGCAGATCCAGAGCAGGTAAAATAGGGCCTGCTGCAGTTTTTCTGGTACTTTGTGTGAACTAGCCCCGAGGGCTAGTTCACACCAAGCGCGGAGCAGGTGCAGAGCAGGTGCCGACCGGATCAAAACTGCGTCCAATGTATTCCTATTGTATTTTTAGCTCCAGTTCACATCGCAGCGTGCAGATCCAGAGCAGGTAAAAAAACTGCAGCAGGCACTATTTTACCTGCTCTGGATCTGCAAAAGCATCAAAAACACATGCAAATGCCTGGAACGCACTGAAAGCCCATGTTAAACTAAACATTTTTTTTAAACGCATCTTAAAGACTAGCTTGCGTGTGTGGAAACCTGACCGGATCTGATCTGCATTTGGTGTGAACAAGGCCTAAACTCAGGAGTTAAATCTTGAAAATGATTCAAGTATCCGAACTATTAACAAAAATGTATCTTATTTGTGTATCACTCGGCTGTAGATCCTCAAATCATCTCTGAATTGGTGCCGACACTGTCCTTCCTTCTGGAGGGTGACTACTTTTGTTCCCCATGGTCCCTGTGTGTGTTGTAAAGTAGTCACCGCTCCAAGCTCTACAATCTCAATACACATGAGCAAACTAAACCTGAGATTCTATGTGATCTTGGAGTGATGACTACTTTACAACATATACAGGAACCATGGGGAGCAAACGTAGCCCCCCTCCAGAAGGAAGGACAGTGTCGGCACCAATTTAGAGATGATTTGAGGATCTACAGCTGAGTGATACACAAATAAGATACATTTCTGTTATTGCCGTGTTTCCCCAAAAATAAGACACTGCCTTATATTTTTTTTCCCCAAAAAAAACACGACGTCTTATTTTCGGGGGATGTCTTATTTTTTTTCCATATATAGTACTGGAGAAGGGGAGTGAAAGAATACTGTCACACAGTGTCACAGTACGTTACCTGGCTGCAGCTCACCTCAGCTAACCTCACTTCGACCCCACTGGCCATGCCGCGCTGTGTCTGCTGGGAAATGTAGTTTTCAGCGGCAGCCAAGGCAGACAGGTGTGTGTGCAGTTGGGCAGGCGGGAGGCAGCTGCGGCCAGTAAGCTTTTTGCGGTCTTGCTGCATCCAAGCATATGTGCAGCAACCCACGAAAATAAGACCTAGCGCTATCTTCAGGGATTTCTGTAATATAAGACCTACCACCGAACTAGGTCTTATTTTCTGGGTAGGTCTTGTATTCCAGAAATCCCTGAAGATAGCGCTAGGTCTTACTTTCGAGGAAACGCGGTAGTTAGGGAAGTAGAACCCTGTGATTCAGGTTAGGGGGAAGTAGGTTGAGTGGGGGTCTGGGCAATGTGTCCATGTTTCATGTTGCACTCTAAATATGGGTGCAACATAAAACATGGTCAGAAAGGTAAACTTACCCTATAAGCGTATACTGCACTATTCCTTAAGGCCTCATTCACACACAACGCGAGCAAAATTGTATATGCGAGTATATACGAGCGTATGTGCGTATATGCGTGCACTATTTGCATTCCCAGAATGCATAATTCCTAAAAGAATTTGAATGAACTGTACGCATGCGCGTAAAATACGCATAAATACGCTGCCCGGACGCATCTTGGTTCCATTCTGTTTTTGCGCATGTTTACGGTACGCGAATATATGGCTCCGTACTCAGCTATGTGTATGGAGCCATTTTTCTGCATATGGGACAATACGCACGAGCGTATACACGCGGCAGTGTGAATGAGGCCTAAAGGAGAACTATGGGGTCAGGGCTTTTCCCCATAGTTCTCAGGGTCACAGGAGGACATAAACTAGCGTCCTCCCAATACCCAAAGCTCAGTATACTGAGACCGCTGCAGCCGGGACGGATCCCGACATTACTGTCGAGATCCACCCAGCTGTGTGATAGGCAGAGCCAGCTGTCAATCTTGAGGCAGAGCCAGCTGTGCCTGCCCCTTCCCCCCTTCGTTCCTCCAGTCAGCGTTGGGGACAGGGGAGATGATCGAGAAGTGAGCGAGCGACGGTATGTGTTCGCTCACTTCCCAATCTATTGAGCCTACATGTGACAGTTTCATTGTCACACGTGATGTCGGCTCGAACTATGAGGTTGAGTGGTTTTCACTCACCTCATAGTTCTCCTTTTAAAGGCCGTGACACACTGCACGCGAAGCAGCGCGGAGCGGGGGCGCGCTGCCTTTGCGAGCAGTGTGTCATGTAATTTTATGCTCGGCAGAGGATTATGTATCAGCATTTTGAGAAATATTTGATCATTACATATAGCGTTACAGCGACACTGCTTTCATCTGCTCTTCTTTTCAGAAGGACGGAGCCACATTTGTTCAAGTATCATGTCTGATCAAGATATAATGGACTGTGATGCTGGCAATCACTTAGGCCCCATTCACACTGAGCGATTTATCGCGCGGCAATACCCGCGATATCGCGGCTATTTACTGCGCAATATCGCTCTCCAATGCATGGCAATGGGGCTCTGTCCGTCGCTGTCGCTACAGCAGGACCCTTTTTGGAGTGGATTTTGCAGCGATTCTAGCTTGCTCAATGCAAGCATTTGCAAAATGCAAATTGCGCGACAAACGCGTGATTTGCGAATCGCTCAATGTGAATGGGGCCTTAGGCCTAATTCACACAGCGTAAACTCGGGCCGTACACGTCTGTGCGGCATGCACGCCCGTATCCGCTGACTGGCGGAACGGACAGGGGAGGGGGGGAATCCCTGCAGGGAGCCGTGAGTGACAGTCATAGCTCTCTGCGGGGATAGATCGAGAAGTGAGCGAGCGACGGTATGTGTTCGCTCGCCTCCCGATCTATTGAGCCGACCTGTGACAGTCTCATTGTCTCAGGTCGGCTAGAACTATGAGGCTGAGTGATTTTCACACACCTCATAGTTCTCCCTTAAATATGTATAAAATCTGAAATCTTCGCTTTCAGAATTCAGATCCACTTTAACATTTATATTACTTTGCAGCATACGGTGCACACTTCATTGTGCATGTAGGCCAAATTAGAAGCATTGCCTCAGTAATCTTTTCACTACATTCCAGTAATAAAGCATTTGGTGACATGTCTTATCAGCATCTACCTATAAATGAAATATTAGTTTTGGGTGGACTTGGCTATATGGGAGGGCAAGCCTGCTTGAACTCAGTTGTCTTGTTTTCTGTAATACAATTCCCTTCATAGGAACATTAATAGTTTTATGTTATAACCAAGAAACATTCTTTTCTTCTTTTATAGTTAAAGGAAAAGACCAGGAGAAGCCAGACGCCAAAGCATTTAAAGGTTGTACTTGCTCTTATGTCTTTTTGTTTTCTTTTATAAATGAATGTTACAATGCTTGTTATATGCAGTTTAACACAGATAACATATGTTGGAGACAGACTGAAATATTTGTTCCAGCTCTCTAGAACCCTCAAGGTTTTTCAGGTGTATCAGAATAGATGCATCTTGATGCTTGGTGTCCTGATGGAAGTGTAAGGTGACTGGTCAATGCAGCTTGTAAGGTACATTCAGAGCATCTCAGGGCTGTAATGGACTTCAGCATGCATAAGTTGGCATCTCTTAAGGTCGTATTTCACCTGACATGATACAGCCCCACTAAGGAGAAAAAAGCTTAAAGGAAATGTATTCACAAGGCCTTGAACATGCAGGTGTCAGCTTGTATTAGAGCAATGTGTACACCAAACAGAGCATTTTCAAAGTTTCTTTAAGCTTCAGACCGTTTATTGGAGCCTTTAACCCCTTCGTGACTGACGACGTACAGGGACCCGCCAGGACTCTGTATAAACTTGTAAAGCCGACTGTCGGCTTTACAATAGAAGCGATTCTGGCGATCATGGTGTAACATCTTTTATATTTTATTCGAAAAAAATTTGTATTTTATTGTGTTTTGGGGCATTTAAGTAAATTTTACACTAAGTTTGGGGGTTTGATAAGGAGTTTCGCTAATATCGTACAACATAAACATTTGCAACTACCACCATTTTATTCTATAGGGTCTTGGCATTCAGAAAATATATAATGTTTGGGGGTTTTAAGTAATTTTCAGGCCTAAAATGTGGAATATAACATGGGTGCAAAAAGAAAAAAAGGCCTCAGTCATGAAGGGGTTAAAGCACCTTTCTACCCAAGTTTAGGAATGTTAAACATATATTATCATAAGAATATTGGCTGTCTCTTTAAACATTCTGCCATCAGGTTGTCCTAGGATATCAAACAGTACTGGTCTACTGAAAGCTTGGTGAAGCTGCTAGTAGCTGGTTAAAGTGACAGCCAGCATTGCCATTCAATTCTGTGTTTAACAATCCCAAACTGCAGCTGATTGATGCTTAAAAAACGTCATTAACGCTGCTCGAAGTGTATGACTGTTGCTAACTTATTTTAGGTGGGTTTCCTGGGCCTGTGATCCTAGCTTTGTTACATTTTTGAGTCTCTGAGCCTGGAACAAACATGTAGGTAGTGAAATTTGGCAGATGGCCTATTCTCCACTGGGTTCATGTGAGCCTATAGGAATGTGCACATGTGTATTACATAAATAACCTGTTATATGTATATACAGTACAGACTGGCTAAATATATATTTATATTCCAGATCCAGCACCTATACCAGTACATTCCCCATCACGGAGCCCCAAAAACAATGCCTTACTGGAGGCAGCTGGACCAAGCCATGTGGCTATCAATGCCATATCGGCCAACATGGACTCTTACTCGAGCAGCAGGACTGCTGCGCTTAAAAAGCAGCCCACTCATATGGAAGCAGAACACTTTGGAGACCTAGGTAAGAATGATCTTAACCTTATACAGCGTTACTATAATAGCCTTTGTGTTCTGTGTTTAGAGCATCACTGAGACTGGTATGTTTTACATATATTGGGTTAAAGAGAAGAGGGGCTTAGCTCTGCTTTAATGGGTGCCGGCCTTAAAACAAAATATTTTGGCAGATTCCAAAGTCAGTCTGGAAGTTAACTGTTCCTCTGCCCATGCAGGCCAAATGAAACTGGTCTCATAACTCCACCTATGGGCAAAGGAAAGGTTCATTTTAAGAAGCCTGAATTTTTTAAAAACTCTATTATAGATCTGACCTTTTGGTTTTTAAAGTGTCAGTTCATGCAAAACTAATATCTGTGGGTTGAATCACACATTTATTTTTTTTAGAACTATGGCATGCTCTTAAAAATATGTGCTGCACCAGTTAATTAACAGCTTTCTTCTAGTCCCCCTGCAAAGTCCCACAAATAGTTGGTGATCCTGGCAGTGAAGTCCGCCTAATGTAGCTTTCTGATGGTGTGGCAACAGTGCTGCACTGCTCCTAAATTTGGAGCATGGTTGCCACTCTGATGAAGGTTGCGTCTGCTTGCACAACAGTGGGATGAGTAAGCATTGCAGGGAGCATAGCTATCAGCAGGGTACACTGCTGATTTACAAAACACAAATGAAGGAGGATTTGGATCAGTCGGGGAGGTAATGTAAGTTTTTGTTTTCTCTTCTTTGAGGCTTGGCCATCACACAGTAAATGGATTTGGTACTTGTGTAGACTGTCATACAGGAGCCTTTAATTGTACTTTATTACATTTTGTGTGTGTATGTGTATATGTACACACACAAAAGTGCCAAAAATGGTACTTTTGGCATAATGCCGAAAGTGGCATTTTCCTGCCGATACATCGGCACATCCCTGCTTTCTTTCCTCCCCGTTGAGCGCTGCTGTGTCCCAGCGGGGAGGAAAGAAACTGTGATAGCCGCCCGAGCGCTGCGGGAGTAGAGTGCTGTGAGTGGCTGGCGTCTCCTCCCACCGCTCAGCCTCCTATCACAGTCCGGCAGAGCGGTGTGTGGGCGGAGACAGGCTGAGCTTTCCTCCCTACACCGCTCGCTCAGCCTCCTGTGAAGCGTGTCAGAGAGGAGAGCAAGGTACAAACACTCAGTGATCGCTGAGTGTTTGTAGATAACATGAGAACATGGTATGTTTACTATATCCTCATTTATGAGTGAATGGGAAGTGATCTACATCACCTCCTGTTCATTAATAGTTACGGTCTGACAATTTTTTTTATTTCGATTTTAAAAATGTCCATTTCAGTGCACCCCTAATATATCGATCGATAGATAGATAGATATATTAGGGGTGCACCCACATGGACATTTTTAAAACCGAAACAAAATTTTTTTTTGTTTCGGTTTTAACCCCTTCGTGACTGACGACGTACAGTGTACGTCGCCAGCATCGGGGCTGTTTAAACAGACTCCCGGTGACTTTTGCCGCCGGGACTCTGTTTAAACTTGTAGAGCCGACTGTC